ATTCTCCTGCTGAACAATTTTGGAGCCTGTGACCTTCATGTGCATTATAAACGTATTTTCCCACGTTGTGTAGTTGTCTCCACTGTTATAATCTTAAAGGATGCATGTATAGCACAGGGAACTATACTCGGTATTTTGTAATAACCTATAAAGAGAAAAGAATTTGTATATATGTAATATATAAATATATAATTATATTATATATATAGTAATATATATTTTCCTCAAAACCTACCTTGAGATCAAGCACTGTCTTTTTACTTTCTTTCATCCCTCTTTGGCTCACCTTTAGCAGTGGACGAGAGAAAAAACCACAGCGGTGAACCATAAGACCACAGGTGGTTTGGGGAAGATGTGGGGAGACCTGCACTGGTTCGTGCTCTGCCGTGTTCCAGGTGCACCTCTTGGACAGATATCTTAAACTCTTGGCTTATGACACCCAGAGATCCAGAAAATAGATCAGCAGTGGCTCGGGAGGTGTGGTGGGTCCCCTGCCCTGGATCTTCCTTCAGCCTGTAACACATGCGTGTTTTCTGCTGAATGTCTTTGCAGGAGCCGTGAACTTCCTGCGTTCTCTCCTGGAACCAGATCCTGTGAAGAGGCCCAATATCCAGCAAGCACTGGCGAATCGCTGGCTTAATGAGAATTACATGGGCAAAGTGCCATGCAATGTCACCTATCCCAACCGGTAATCAAGTGCACACAGAGGGACTCCTCCTCGGGAAAGATGGGGCCTGTCTTACGAGCCCCTGAATAGTTAAGAATAGGCAGCTTCACGTGATTCAAGCAAAGGCCACGTCTTCTCTTGGCTGCCCTTCCCCACTGCGCACACAAGAGGAAGTGTAGGCGGGGCCGGCCCATGTGGCTGTGCAGAGTGCGCCCTGCAGGGGGCGCCCGGCGCAGGGCGTGCGGCCGCTGAAATCAGGCCGCACTCCCCTTATCAAACCTGCTCCTGAGGGCCTGCGTTTTTCCAGAGCAGCACCTCTTTCTAATTCACACCAAGGGACCGTGTAGACTAGCTATGACCTGAGTGAGTGTGTGTCTGTGTGTGTATGTTTGAGTGTGTCTGTGAGTGCTGTTTGTGTTTGAGTGTGTGTGTGTGTGTGTGTGTGTGTGTGTGTGTGTGTTCCACTCAAGAGCTCTCCTGTCGGCATCGGGCGGAATCCAGTGGAATCGCTTCTCTCCCTTTTCACACCATCCCCCGGGCTCCTCTTCTGCCACTTTTTTGCTCCGATGTTTGTTTCAGCCCTAAGTCCCCTGCCCTGAAACGTTGGGGGCAGAAAGAAAAGTCAAGAGCAGGAGTCCTTTGCTTCAGGCCGTGTCACCCTGTGCCATTTCTGTGAGGAGGAATCTTTAGGGAAGGCTTACAGGCAGGAGTCCACAGGAGTCCTCAGGTATCACTGAGGGACACCTCATGATGGCCCACGTGTCCCCGTGCACGGGTATCGAGTACACATTTGAAAACAAGTACAGGAAAACATTTCCTTGTACTTTTCCCTACTCATCTGACACATTGTTAACTAGCCCGAGTGGAGGAATGAGGACCCTCCCCTTGGTGACTTTAGAGCCAACGTGAGGACCTATGGGTTGAATACCCCCCAGGACTGGGACCTACCTTGAGTCCCTTCTTCCGTCAGTCCTGGAGTGGCCTGCGCATTCTAGATCCGAAGCTCAGCTCAGATGAAAACAAGAGAACCACTGATGAAGCGGGACAGGTAAAGCACTGACAGGGCAGGGAAGAGGTGTCCTCTGTGATCATATCTTCAGAATATGCCCAGGAAGGTCTGGAAACATCCACCAAGACTTATGAAAGTTGCAGCACTGACTTCTCCAAATGAGATGGGCAGGCAGAGCTCCGTCTTGGGGAGGAAGTTCTAGAAGAATTTCGGGGGGTGTGGGTGGACGGTGCTGGGACCCGCCTCCTGGCTACTGGGCCCCATTTGCACTCGCCATGGCCATAGATAGCTGTCATCTACAATTCTAGCATTTGACTTGTGGGAGGTAATGTAAACAAAGTCTAGGTTACTTAGGTTACCAAGGGAACCTGGAAATAGACTGCTGGTTTCCAGTGCTGGCTGGGTTTGAGCTGGTACCTGAAATAGACACCGGGAATATTAGCCCAGTGTGAGACGGAAAGCAAAGCCGAGGAGCCGTGCCTCGTCACCAGGGCTCATGCTGCCTGGCACGCCCAGGTGTGCTCTCTGTAAAGGAGGAGGCACTGGTGGCAGCCAAATGGGTCATTAGCCTAATGTAATCACGGTCTAAATGAGCAGAATCAATCCACTCAATGCAGCAGCTGTTAAAGGAAGTGAAGCTGCTGTTAAAAATACAGTCCCCTCCCTCCTTGCTGACTACATCTTCATTCACAAAGATTCAGGCCCAAGCATCTCATTTTGTAGCTTATGAACAGGCTTTTGTAGATTAAAACTTAAATTCTAGTAACCTATACTGGCTTTGCCAGATTGGTCATTTTTGCATTTGGGCTTGGTCAAAAGCAATAAAGGCTGCACATGATCTAGTTGGGTAGATTGTAAAAATGGTTAAGAGCTTGTATATTAAGGAAAACAGCAGCTGAATATCTTCTGTTTAGGTAAGGTTCGTTACTCATTTTATACTAGAGGCAAATCAATGTCCAGTTTTTAAGTAATGAAACCAGAAATCTCAACTATTGGAAAAGACATGAGTTATTTACAGTCTTTATTATGAAAAATATATAATACAAAAAAAATTTGCTTTTGATGATTATTTTTCTGGTTTTACCAGCACACAGATAAAGGGAATAAGAATATGTGACCAGGGAAAGGAATATTTTCTTTATAAAGTCTATTTTATAGCTTCCCAACATTCATAGCCCCAGATTTAATTATTTTAGATGTTGTCAATGTTTTACTTCTGGGAAAGAGAGAAAATAAAGGTCCTGTGTTTTATATCACTCTTCTTTAAAGCCTTCTGTTAATTTGTTTGGGCCTCCAAGTTGATATCCCCAAGAGGCAAGAGGAAAATGTCTTTAAATGTAAACTCTTTATAATAAATGTTCATGCCAGTTAGTCACAGATGTTTGCTGTGTGCCAGGCTCCCCTCCCTGTTCTGGGAGCAGACATTTTTTTTAGAGCCGACCCTGGCTACCTCCTTCCTGTCCTGCCTGGGCCTGGACACTCTCCCACACCTCCAGTTAGCTCTGGAGATGAGTGGGAGGGAAAGCAGGTCATTGGTTCACAGGACGGAATTAGACCAAAGTGGAATAAAATTGGATTTAATGCAAATTTACTCAAAATTATACCTAGTGTTCTGGAACATTTTTTACCATTGTCTATATCATCAAAACTTGGAGAGATACGTTTGTTCTCTACATCTGTGTCTCAATTTCTGCCCTGCAAACCAGTTCATCTGTACCATTTTTCTAGGTTACACATGTATGTGTTAATATACGATATTTGTTTCTCTCTTTCTGAATTACTTCACTCTGTATGACAGTCTCTAGATTCATCCACATCTCTACAAATGACCCAATTTCGTTTCCTTTTATGGCTGAGTAATATTCCATTGTATATATGTGCCACATCTTCTTTATCCACCAATAGGGGAAAACGGCGTGGGGGGGGGGTTGGTGGTGGGATGAACTGGGAGATTGGGAGTGACATATATACACTAATATGTATAAAATGGATAACTAATAAGAACCTGCTGTATAAAAAAATAAATAAAATTTAAAAAAGAAAGAAACTTGGAGAGATAACACAGGTTCAACAACTGATACAAGAGAGCACTAAATACATGCAGTGCTTATTGAACATGTTTAAAATATTACTCTCAGTCAAGAGCCAGTCCACAGTCTACGTTTGGCAGAGTTCACCTGATTTGGAAGACGCGGGTACAAAGGGCAGAGATGGGGTGTCTCCTCCTGCTCATTTTCTTCCTCTCTCCTCCACCCCCAGCCCCACCCCAGTGGCACCCCACACCCAGAGCACCCTCCCTTCCAGGGCCTGCTCCTGGTAGGGGGTGGGGCCATCCGTGTGTAGCTGTGGGTGATTGGCCAGGGGTGGGGGGGGGAGGGTCACAAAACTCATGATCTGATTGGCTGGGAGGTGAGGCCATGAGGCTGTGGTCTGATTGGCCAATGTCAGTGATCTCATTGGCCAGGAGTGAGGTCAAGCAGCAGTGGTGTCATTGACCTAGGGCAGGGCTGCTGGCACGTGGTTGTTACCAGATAGTTTCAAACAGTTGTGCTTTCTGTGTTAAGTGCTTGTGTCAATCTTCACGTAATTGTATCCTTTTTAAACAAACGTTATTTTTAACCATTAATCATACCAACCATACTCCAACCTGCTTTCTAGAATTTGTGATTTTGTAGCCAACAGGAGTGAGGAAAGCAGATTTTGTGGTTTCTTGGGCGCCTTTTCTTTGGACGGCACTTAGCCAAATGGAGAGCTGACCGAGATTACAATGGTCAAGAGACCTAGGTCTGCCCTTGCTGCCCCTACTAACGGGCCTGTGAACTTGGCAAGTCGGTTTCCTCTTCTGAACCATTATGGGGTTATACTGTGTGGTTTTTCCTAGTGTTATGGTTCTGAGGTTCCACCAGAAATGTCTTCAGAATCTTTGGCGGTGGTTACAGAGCTCTCTAGCCAGATGTGCTCGCCTTCTGCTCACAGAGTACTGTATTTGCATCTCTCTTAAGGACTGTAGCACGTTCTCTCTCATGACACACCTCCACTACCAACACACATACTCTCTATGCCCCTCAGCCTGTTTTTGTGTTCTCCATAGCTGCCACTTCTTGCCTATGTGTCCCTGGGCAAATTACTTCCCTGTTGTGGGCCTCAGTTTCTCCATCTGTAAAATGGGGATAATAATGGTACCTACTCATAAGACTGTCATGAAGAATAAATGAATTTATTTTCTCTCTTCCCCACTGGAATGTAAACTCCATGAGGCAGGGACTTGTTGAATAAATGAATGAATGAATGAGTGGTTAAATGAATGCCTGGCATTCATTTCTTTGGCATTTTATCCCAAGGAGTTTATCTTCATAATACTCCTGTGTAGAAGCTTTAACCTGTCCTCTGAGAGCACTTTACTTTGCAGCTGAGCCCCACATCCCCTACTTGTGAACCTGTGAACTCACATTGTTCCTTCAAACACTCTCTGGGCTGTGGCTCCTGAACACCCTCCTTTCCCAACTCAGCTTCCACCCAACCTAAGTGTGGGCTCCACCCCATCTCCAATAAATACATTTTAAGGAAAACATGTCAAATTGTAAAGAAATTTGGGACAACTGGGGAAATTTGAATATATTCTGGATAGCAGAGAATATTAAGAGATTACTAAAAGTTTGTTGGGTGTGTTGATGGTATTGTGGGTCTACAGGAGATGTCCTTGGTTTTTAGAGATGCACGTTGAGGTGTTTAGGAAAAAAGATGTCATGATGTTTGTGATTTAAAGTACTTTAGGAAAGAAAGGAAGGGAGGGAGAGATGGAGGAAGGAAGAAAGAAAGCAAGCCAAAGTGTTAACAACTGGTTCAACCAGGAATTGGGCACACACATAGGCTATTAGACTATTCCCTTTACTTTTCTGTATATGTAACTTTTCATAATAAAAAGTCAAGTGAGGGCTTCCCTGGTGACGCAGTGGTTGAGAGTCTGCCTGCCGATGCAGGGGACACGGGTTCGATCCCCGGTCCGGGAAGATCCCACATGCCGCGGAGCAGCTGGGCCCGTGAGCCATGG